AATTTCGAAATATTGACAACTGACATATTTTTTAACGTTAAATCAAACCAAACTAAACCAACCTAATCTAATATTTTATCTCATTATTATCCAATGAATAAAAATCTGGCTCCACCACTGTCAGACTGAATGAGTCATCCCTACTTACCCCCCAAAGAGTTGATAACCATGGGCCTCTAAGACAAACAACTTTGTCGTTTTCACAAACAGTTGGCGGATGGTAAAGTGTGGGCCTTTCTCACCACACTAACTCGCCATTTTCCTTGCAATTTTGGCTCAGTTTCAAGGACTAAGACAGATCATTTTGTCCCACCCTGCATGAAATTACTAGGAATTATCAGACAGTGCTTTGATGATAATAAAGTGATTAAGACAACCCTAACAATTAGTGAGAGTGTAGATATTTATATATAAAATCAGTAAGGCTCTGTACAGAAACATCATTTTATGACCTCTTCTTTTCAGTCATTTATTTTAGGGCAAATTACAAACACCCCTCGAGGTTTGGTAAAAATACAGATTCTTTCCTGAGATTTAAGAAATTACAAATTGTCCCTCGAGGGACAAATTTTCATAACAAATTAAGAAAAATTAAGGGGGAATCTATATGAAAATAAAAACCTCAGGAGGTAATTTGTTATGAAAATATAAACCTCAGGGAGCGGGATGTAATTTCTCAAACCTTAGGGGAATCTGTATTTTCACCAAACCTTGAGAGGAGTGTTTGTAATTTATCCTTTATTTTATTTTTTCTTCTCAGTCTTTTATTTTTTTTCCTTCCATTTATTTGACTTATTTAACCATGATTTGTGTTATTTTCTTGCATTAAAGTGTTATCTTATCACTTAGGAATCGTTTGACAATGACTTCTAAACTGAATTTTTTTTAAAAAAAATCATTAAAAGAGCCAAATCTCAAATGACCCTTTAATATCATCAATATATTTGTATAAAAATTCAAAGTGCATAATATCTAGTCACAGAATTAGACAAAATACTCTCATATGAGTTAAAACTCATTAAATGTGTAGGTAAATTACAAATATACTCTCTGAGATTTACTTAAATTACAAATTTTCTCATGTGATTTTGAAAATTACATTATGCCCCCTAAGGTTTCTAATTTCATAACAAATAGGTCATTTTATTAATAAATTATCAAGTTAATTAACAGTTTTTAATAATGTTAAAATTTTATTTCAATTAATAATTCAGATAATATTATTGTATAGGTGAACAGTTAAAAATTTTACTTTTTCAATTAATTCTATTAAATAAAAAATTTTGACAAGGAAGTATTTGTAATTTTTCAAACCACAGGGAGCAATTCGTATTTTAAGCAAATCTCAGAGAATGTAGTTGTAATTTATTCTAAATGTGTAGGTTCCACTCTATGTAAGAGAATTATGTCCAATTCTATCCACGTAGAAGCAACGGTATGTATACAGAAAATGGCACCAAAAAAAAATATATATATATATATAGTTCAAAACAAGAAAAAAAATTGCTAAAGACAAAAGAAAACCCATCCAAAAACACACAGATTTTTATTGGGGCTTTCTTTTGTCTTTAATTTTTTTTTTTTTCCATATTTTTAGTCTATTAGAAACATCTAGATTAAGCTCGTTTAAAAAGTATTTTAAAAAAAAAAAAAAAGTTGGATGAAATGTGAAGAAAATTCATCAAAGACAGAAGAAAATCCATCTAAAAACAGTTTTTAAAAAATCAAATCAAACAAAGCAAAAACCTTTCCGGTAAGATTGGCAACAAGTACAACGGAGGCACATGGCGTGCAAGATTGAGCTAATCCATCCGCAAAAGACACATTAAATTACAACAGACAAGTGTATACCAGACTCTTCAATCTTCATCAATCCTGACATTATTGACACAGGAAAACAAGGACATGTCACTGAGGAAACGGAGAAATAAGACAAACTCTGCGAGGTTGGAATTCTTAAAGAAAGGCTGTCCATCAAGGCAAAGCAAAACAAGAGAATCTTATGTCGTACTTTATCCAAGTTCTATGATTATTACTAGCTTATGTAAATGTGAAAAAATTCAATTCAACCACCTCATGATTATTAACCTCCAAGTAGTGATCCTAAATTTTCCAATCTATTTTGTTGTTGTTAGGCAACAACCTCTCTCCTTCATCGTCATGTCCCTGTTTTAACCCAATGTCCATCTAGAAGCAACGTTATGTATACAGAAAATGGCACAAAAAACGGAAAAAAAAAATATATATATATATATAGTTCAAAACAAGAAAAAAAATTGCTAAAGACAAAAGAAAACCCATCCAAAAACACACAGATTTTTATTGGGGCTTTCTTTTGTCTTTAATTTTTTTTTTTTTCCATATTTTTAGTCTATTAGAAACATCTAGATTAAGTTCGTTTAAAAAGTATTTAAAAAAAAAAAAAAAGTTGAATAAAATGTGAAGAAAATTCATCAAAGACAGAAGAAAATCCGTCTAAAAACAGTTTTTAAAAAATCAAATCAAACAAAGCAAAAACCTTCCCGGTAAGATTGGCAACAAGTACAACGGAGGCACATGGCGTGCAAGATTGAGCTAATCCATCCGCAAAAGACACTTTAAATTACAACAGACAAGTGTATACCAGACTCTTCAATCTTCATCAATCCTGACATTATTGACACAGGAAAACAAGGACATGTCACTGAGGAAACGGAGAAATAAGACAAACTCTGCGAGGTTGGAATTCTTAAAGAAAGGCTGTCCATCAAGGCAAAGCAAAACAAGAGAATCTTATGTCGTACTTTATCCAAGTTCTATGATTATTACTAGCTTATGTAAATGTGAAAAAATTCAATTCAACCACCTCATGATTATTAACCTCCAAGTAGTGATCCTAAATTTTCCAATCTATTTTGTTGTTGTTAGGCAACAACCTCTCTCCTTCATCGTCATGTCCCTGTTTTAACAGCCTATCCCACCCATCTAATCCTCTCGCGACAAACACACGCATTTGTGTGCATAATGCTGATAAATTTCATGATGGTGGTAGAGTAGTATGGATTGATAAATACTTCACACTAACCATTTGATCGTAAAGTTGCTCCAACTTAATTTTGGAATAAAGATATTTTACATTTATATATATGTATTAATAATACTGTGTTTGGTTGGGGGATTTGATTATGGATTTAAAAAGGAAAATGAAAAAGGTAGGTGAAATGTGAATAAAACATACTTAAATTTTATATAATTTCACATACTTTTTCCTTTTCCCTTTCTAAATTCCTCTCCAAATCTCCTAACCAAACACACCATAAAAGGGCAGCTATATCTCATTTGAGTTGTTAGGTGGGTGTGCTCCCCATTTACTAATGAAGGTTCAAATCTTCTCCTGTTTGTTCGATTCACTAACTTAGGGTTGGTTTTTCAACCTCGAGTTTACCTTCTTGAAGTGGATGGTGGGTCCAAAAGATCCTGGGATGAGTTCTTGATTATCAAAATAAATAAACAAATAGATAAAGAGAACAACTATCTCTATATCTAGTGAAATCATAGCAACGACGAACAAAACTCTAGTTTTGAGATGAACCACGTAAATCACTTGTAACTCTAGTAACCCTAATTTTGAGATAAATCACATAAATCATGTGATCTATAATTCTTATGTGTTTGTTTTTCTCTATTTTCATATCTTAAAGATTTTGATTAGGTGTTACAAAATTGTTAATAGAAGTTATCATCAAGATTAATGGGATAAGTTAAATAAGTCTCCAAAGTATATAATAAAAAAGAAAAAGAAAAAAAGAAAGATTGTATATGATTACAAACTTTTCACTGTCAACATGGTGAGGAAAATGGATTTACAGGACTACCATGTATGGCCATCTCAACATCTCTCTCTCTCTCTCTCTCTCTCCTTGGCCGTGATTCTCTTTCTCAAAACTTCCTAAGATCATGCCAAACAACACCTCAAACAACAACCATGCAAGGGGATGAATATGAGGGAACAACTTGGTTGATGGTGATAGGTGTGTTTCCCATTGGATTCTTTTCTTAACAAGTCATTCATATAGCTGTCACAAATACAATATTGCCATCAACAGATGCTAAACAGATCAATTTCAAGAAAACTTTCTTACTTGACAAAGATAAAAGAAATTACAAGTAGTAGTAGTTCGTAAAAAAGAAATATCCATAACCACTAAATTCTGAAGAATAGACCCTGTCTCTCTCCAATATGATGAATGAATAAAAAGGTGATTACCGTATGCGAGACCCCTGTTAAATCGGAGTCCGAAAAGGATAAGATGTACACAATCTTATCTCAAATGACAAGCCTTACATATAGGCCAAGCCGCCACAGAGATGACGAATGAATGAGAGCACTCTCACCTTCATAAGCTTAAGGCAGCAACGATAATAGGACCAACAAACTATTCATGCCACATGAATTTAAACAACGAAAATGAGTGACGAACTTTAAAAATTCAACTTTTCTATTTAAAATAGGAATCAAAAAATTAAGTGGAGCCAAGTAATGTATCAGAAAATCAGGTACCAATGTCTATCTGCCATGTGTCTGATTTCACCATTCTAAGAAAATGCAGACTATACTCTAAAAAAGATGAAAATATGTTACATCAAACTATTTTGTCGACTACTTTCTTCCCCTCTTTCCTAAAATTCTTAACAACCAATCATAGCACTAGCAATAAGCATTATAAAACCAAGGAGTCTAGAATGGATAAATACAATCAGAATCAAAATACATAATGAAATTATACGAGGTAATCAAAACATTGAACTAGCAAGTAACAAGATATGCACAATATGAATAATTCTTGAACACACAAACAATGTAATTCCTCACCCGTCCGATTGTTGCTGAATAGTTTTTGATATCAAATGGGCCTCCCAACAAAGAAGCACTGACACGAACACATGACAAAACACGGAAACTGAGAAGCACAATAGCTGTTGGATGAAACACTTTAGTTTACAATTAAAAAGAAAGATAAGAAAAAATGACACAGATTTCCACAAGGGATGGAAGAGAAAATGCCACGCGAAATCAAAGCCCATTGGCTAGAATTAACCCATCAACCAAAAGCCACAGTAACTTGTATGCTAGATACTTTCTACATGGCTCTGACTATAAATGTCATAAAGCCAAACCTCATCAGCAATGTTCTAAAAAGCAATCACTTAAGAATATTTAGAAGAAGAAAAGAAGAAAAAAAAACTATAAGAAAAACAACTTACAAATTGGAATTTAACAAAATTATGGAAGGAGAAGAATATTCAGCATCACCACCACCGCCACCAGCTGCTACCAAAATTGAGTCTTTAGCTTGCCCAGAGGTGCTTCAAAATCCAAGGAAGAAGAAGAAGAACAAGAGGAGGTTTAGTGAAGAACAAATAAGGTCACTGGAGTCTATGTTTGAGTCAGAGACGAAGCTTGAACCGAGGAAGAAGGTGCAGCTGGCTAGAGAGCTAGGGCTGCAGCCTCGGCAGATAGCTATATGGTTTCAGAACAGAAGAGCTAGATGGAAGTCAAAACAAATAGAGCAAAACTACAGAGTACTCAAAGCCAATTATGACAGCCTACTTTCTCGGTTTGAGTCCTTGAAGAAAGAGAAACAATCCTTGCTCAAACAGGTAATTCTTCTGCTCACTTCAAAGATCAAAATGATTTAATTGAAACGGCCAATATATTCCCGTTTTTAGAAAAATTGAAACGAAAATGGCTGGAATACCGAAATTGTAATGCTTCCACCGAAACATACCGAAAGGTGAAGTATCTTCTCCTTGTGTTTTTGGTTTTTTCATTCCTACTTCTAGTAAAATCTCTTCCCAACCAAGCCTTTAGACTTTTTGTTTATGAGTTTCTAGTAATATGTTCAATTATTTAACTATCACATTTATATAAGTTCTTGTTTTTGTTTCCAAACATTTTCAAATTTTTCTCTCATTCCCCTTATGTTTATGAAATGTTTCCATTGCCAAACTAACTGAAACAAGAAGTTAAAACGAAATTTTGATCCTAGGCTTTCTGATCTAATTTTCTTTCTACAGTTGAAGATGTTAGGTGATCTGCTGGAAAAAACACATGACCAGGGCAGCAAAAGCAAGGATTTGGGAGGAAATAGCACATCCGGTGACTCTGATAGTGGAGAGCCAAGTTGCTTGAAAAAAGGTTCAGACCGTGGAGCTGTAGCAGATTCAGATGGTGATGAGGGAGGAAGTGGCAAGAACATTCAGCAAGAAGCAACAGAGAACATGGGTGGCCAAGTAGATGGTTCCTTAGCATTGCCTGAAAAGTCATGCAATTTTGAGTCCAGTAGTCTTTTTGATGGCAATTCAACCTGGTGGGACTTCTGGACTTAAAAAATGCACTTCACCTTCCTGAATGATAGAAGTGCTGTACAAAAATTGAAGACCGGTTTCTTATGTAGGATGAGTCGTTCAAAGAGATCGAGAGGAAAGAATGGATAGAAAAGTAGACTACTCCATCGATGACAGAAACAACAATCAAAGATTTCAACTAGAGCTAAACATGTGACAGACAATGCAAATTCATTGACAACAGTTCAAAGAAAGCAACAGAAAGTGATGAGAGAGCATGTTTGGGAGAATATGCAAAGAAGCAGCATCAATTATGCCAGTGCGTCCACAAGACTGAGAATATGCAAAAAAGCAGCATCAATTATGCCAGCCTATGCATGTCCATGGTGTGCACAAGAGCATGGGTTTGTACAAATATTTCAAGGCCTGTAAATAATTGTGTGAAACTTTAAGTAGTCCAAATGATAATAGTTTTTCCTGGAAACTAGGAATTGAGCTCTGTATGGTTTACTTTCTAAAGTTTCTTTTTTTTTCTGCATGAAATAATTGCTAGGAAGAAAGTAGGATTGTCAAACAGTTAGGTTTTATTCGGATACAAGAATTTAAAATTAAAGGGATTTAATGTTCAAAGTCAAAACACAAACATATAGAAGGTTTAATTAGAATGAGAGGAGGGTTAAGTAGAGAAACCATGGGTTATTGGGAGTAACTCTATTGATCTTGTTACTTCAAATCCACTCATATAAAGATCCCAAAGTTATGCATGCATCTTGTTGAAATCTAAATTTAAAAGTTTTCTTAAATAATTCTAATTTTTATCATTTACTTCTCGGGAATAAGAAAATATATCGTGTTGTCAATTCATTCCAAAGAATACTTTGGAAATAACAATCCATTCCTAGAATCGTTAGCATGTTGCCAAAAATTCTTACCCCTAAAATTTTCTTAAATAGTTTTTTAACTGAATTTGCATCAAATTATCAATTATTAATGGGTTTAAAGTTGCATCCATGACCCCCCATATTTGTGAATAAGATTTTATTTATTTATTTTTCACAACACATCGTGAACTTTGAATTTGACTTCCCTCCTTGCAAGAGAAGAACTAAAGTATAGCAACCTTCAGCTTCAAACATGTGATTCAGAGGAGTAGTATCACTATCCACTAGCAAGAGGGAAGACATAACAAAGGAAGAATAACACTACACTAAATTTTCGTCAAACCATTTCTTTTAAACACACAATCAAAAAATAGATCAGTCAAACAAATATAGGGTGGGCATTTGTTGGGCCCGGCCATTACTACATAATAAGAGGCTTTGTGTCTGTCCAAACCGGACCCAGCATTAACATCGGGCTTCTACATTTGCCCAAGACTGGCCCAAAAAATAATTATAAATCTCAAATCCACACATCAGGCTGTATGAATTTTTTTTTTAAAATATTCCATAATTAAATTCAATCACACATTATATTTCTTCAATAAATATACTGATATCATTATAAATTAAAGGATGTTGTGTAAAAATTAAAACAATTCAATCAAACATCATCACAAATGTGATTTTCAATAAAATCAACAAAAATAAAGTATAGAACCCAACAAAAAAAATATATATTTTAATATATTATAATAAATTAATTAAATAGCAAGCCGAGCCCGACTGGATTGAAAGTATAAATCTCAAACCCAACCCATTAATATATCAGGTTGAAAATGTTGGCTCAACCTGACCCTATAGGCTAAAACAATCTTTTCAAACCTTGAAAAAAAAATAAGACTAGGTCAGGCAGGCCAACAGGCCGATGCCCACCCCTTCCCAACCCAATTACTTTAAGCTTGGCTAAATGTATACCATTTTTTTTTTTTCCAGTAATCTATTTTTAAAGATGCCTTGACAATTTCACATGGTCCATGTTAATGAGATGTGACCACAAGCCTTTCAAACCACAACCCTCTTCCGTTTGCGGACTTTAGGACAGACATAGCAATGGCATGAAAACAAGACATATGCAAGGAAAATGTGAAGTTTTCAACCATTTGAATCTTTCGATACGTAGAACAAGTACTTGAAGAATTCTTGAAACAATTAAATCGGCAAAAGGCAAAAAAACAGTTAAGACGAGTTCTAAATCCATCCCCAGTGATGATGTACGGTGGATTTTAGCGAAATTCCTTCACTTAGGCCCTCAAATTAGCGATTTTCCCATTTTAGGAAAGTTTTGTTTTAGCAATAACTTTATTTTGGGAAGTACATTTTTAGCATCATCTATTTTGACGTGTTTCTCATTTCGGCTAAAGTCATATTTGCTATATTTTGTAATTTTTTGTTTCTTTTATTTATTTTTGTGTCTAGTAAGGAATTAGCCTAATTAGTTGTTTCCTTGTTGAGTTAGGGTTTCATGTATTACAAACAAGGATGTATGCCATAGGGCAAAACAGCTTTTTGATCAATATTATTTCGTTTTTCTTTGAGAATTTGTTACATCGTCTACTAAAACAATATCTAGCCTCGTGTGATAATTTTTGCCGTGTCATGTATTGGACACATTAATCTATATGTTAGTGAGATGGGAGATTTGCACCAGTTAGTACGGCCGAGCTACGGTAACACGGGTCGTGACAAACCGCACGGCGCCGAGCTATTTTCTCTCCTGACACGGCCCTTCGGCTTGTTTTGCACGACCGAAGAGGTTGGCCGACCAGGCACGATCTAAGGTCTGACCGAGCTGTGACCAGACGTTTGGCAGGGCACACGGTGACCGAGCTAAGGGTAGCCCGGGCTAGACTGATTACAGGGCGAGGACCGGCATGCCTTTAACCAGTTGGCCGAGATGGACGGACTTCATATAACCGAGAATGAAGGTAGGATGGGGGGAGGTCGGTATGCCTCACGGCTGATCAACCAGGGTGGACCGACCAAGAGTAGCTCGGCCATGAGAATCAAACTTTCGCTTCTTCCCCGAGGGATAGGTCGGCAAGATACAGCTCGGTTGTGTTGCTTGTGGTGGCAACTCTCCACAAGGACTAGGCCGGTCGTGGTACTCCGGTTAAGTGAGCCACCTGGGCCAATGGCGTGAGGGAGAGGACATCTGCTCCAAGCACGCGTCAATACCGTTGGGCAGTTCTGCGTGTACTGGTTGAAGGACTAGGCCTTTACACGCGTAAGGTAGTGAGAGGCGAGCACTGCCACTTGTCTAGGGAAGGACAGCAAAGGTAGTGCGCGCACAATCTTGAGGCTGCATGGCCAGCCTAGAAATAGGGGAGGAAGACGAACGTTAGAGGTAAGCAACTCGCGCCATAAAAAACACACTCTCTCTCTCTAACAGCCTTCTTCTTATGGGAGTGATCTGCCTTGATCGTCGAAGGGTCTATTCGGCAAACCACCGCTGAGCAGCTCACCGTCTCTGTTTTGTCAGGTTAGACGCCGTCACGTGAAGCTTGAATCCAAGGAGTACGGAAAGCAGAGGATATTTCGCCCCCGTACAATTGGCGCCGTCTGTGGGAAGCTCTTTGATACTCAAACCTTGTTTTTCAAGCTTCTTCGGCCATCTCCATGGCCAACAATGACGAAACTCCACTGTCCGTCGTCGATGGCATCACACCAGAGTCTGTTCGACGGAGAGAAAGCCCCCCGAATGTTCCAGCCATGGCGGGCCTAGAAACTTCTTCGCGAGGTGCGCGAGACATACGCGGAAGGAGTACTGATCGCTCGAAGAGTCCAGAGGGCCGTCGGCGGCGGGGGGAGTCCTGTGCGCAGCGCCTGGAGCCCAAACTCAAAGACCAAGACGCCCTCATTCGCAAGATGGCGGCGGAGATGGAGATGCTGAAGCGTTAGATGAAGGGGAAGGGTGTTGTTGGAGAGGGCAACCTCAGTGAGCGCACCCCGTCCCCCCGCTCTAGCAGTCGCCGCCAGGAGAGGACTCACTCTCTCTCCATCACCAGGAACTATGGGGTTAGAGATTCCGACCAAAGAGAGGGCAGATCCCTCACTCGAGACAGCACATACCGCCCTTCACGCCCTTCGCCGACATCGCGATACTCTTTCTCCACCCGTTCCAGAGACCTGAGGGACGTATTGGAAGAGAGGGCGCGCTGTCGAGAGGCTCAGAGACTGCCAGCGTTACAGAGATTGAGCGCCCCAATTTATTGTAGCGAAGAAGTGGCGATGCCAGCGCCCAGAGTGATGGCCCCTGCGCCAGTGGACAAAGAGCTGGCGAGACTTATAGCCACGCCGTTATCTTCGAAAATCGAGAGTACACCACTCCCTGTCGGATTCCACCAGCCTAAGTTCACCTTGTACGACGGCAAGACGGATCCGTACATGCACGTGAGTCATTACCGGCAAGTAATGGCTGGCCACCGGCGCAATGACGCCTTGATGTGCCTCATATTCCCAGCAAGCTTGGGAGAACTGGGCCTGAAGTGGTTCGAACAGCTTCCAGAGGGGAGTATCGAGGGGTGGCAGCAACTAACGGAAGCCTTCGTCACCAGATTCAAAACCAACACTCGAACGCCGAAGGAGGTCGATCATCTTCTGGGCGTCAAGATGGAGTCAAGAGGATCACTGAAGGCATACACCGCGAAGTACTGGGAAACTTACAACGAAATCCTCGACTGCCCTACCAATCTGGCGATCACTCAATACAAGCGGGGCCTCCCAATCGGACATAGGCTGCGAGACTCGCTCACAATGCACCAACCCACAACCATGGAGCCCTTGATGCAGCGGATCAATGAGCACTTTCGTGTGGAGGATGATGCCGCCTCCGTGACCTAGAAAGTTAATCCGGTCGCAGTGGAAAGAAGGGTGGCAGGGAAAGTTCACTCGGTCGAGCAGGAGGATAACCGCCCAAGCGACCGGTCAAAAGATCAACGTCGTGGCCCAAACCGCGATGACAGGAACAAAGGTCGCAGAAACGACCGAGCTGACGCTCCCCGTGATGCAGCGGAGGATGCCAAAAGAAAATTGAAGGCGCGGACTGGAATCACCACGGTCTTTAAAATCCCTATCTACCGCATTTTGAGCGAGATCAGAGGTGAGCCTTTTGTCCGCTGGCCGGCCAAGTTGGGAAGTGCACAGAGAGGTTTCAATTCAAAATATCGCTGCACCTTCCATGAAGAACGGAGGCACCGCACGGAGGACTGCTTGCCACTCAAACAACATTTGAAGGAGCTGGTGGTGGCGGGGCATCTTGACCAATACATAGATGGGGATATGAAAGTCGTCCCGCAGGGACAAACCCAACCAAACAGCCTAGCCGCCTTGGACGCGGCGTCGTAAGGTGTAATCAACGTCATCCATGGCATCATTGAACCAGCGAGGGTCTGCGAGCTTAGAGGGATGATTAAGAAAGCCGAGCACATGAGGGAAGTGCTCTCCGTCCAGCCTGCTGTGAAAAAGGGAAAAACCGAGGAGAAGGACATCCTTACCTTCTCGAGCAAGGATTTGGAAAGGATCCAAATGCCCCACAATGATGCCCTAGTAGTAACTCTTCGCGTCAAAGACTTTG